TTTAAAATTTTTGGGGGGTCGTACGACCCTCACGACCCTCCCCCCCCTGCATACACCCATGGGGTAGTAACCAGACCTTTACCTCTGCCATACGTTCAGTCACTTAAACACCACAAATTGTTGTGTGTTGCTAACCTTTTTGTACCCCCCTACATTGAGAACTCTATGCAGCGCTATTTCAACATAATACACAGACTTTTGGTGGGCGATTAATATGCGACCTATACACATACAGGGGTCCCAAACTAGGATTAACTAAGCAATTCTAACCATCAGTGCCCTAGCCGCTCCTTCCTAAAGTAAAAGATGTACTTCCTGCAGGGACTTTAAACCATCATGACGGAGTATATAAATATATACCCACACTGGTACCTATAATGGCTATGGCTATGCTACACAACGCGGGGAAGCGGAGGGAAGTTTGGGCCGATTTATTAATAGTGATTAGTGGTCAATAGTGGGATCATCATGGGAATCAGATACGACCGCGGTAGCTCTAGTAACTAGTCTATATAGCCCGCGTACGGTTGCCGCTGTACGCGGGCTATATAGTTACTAGAGCTACTAGTACTACCGCGGCACCACGCGACGTGGTATGCACGCAAAAATGCCTCAACACTAGAATAACGCCCCGCACCTAAAGAACTATCTAACTAATCTAAGAACAAGCTATCTAGTAAAGAACTGGAGGTAGACATAATTTCCTGCTTCTTTAGATAATCCCCGCACCTGCATTGATTAGAGTGCCTTGTAAAAGACAGGATAAGATACAAGATACAAGGTGAAACTGAAACTTGAAAGTTACCAATTAACTAGCTCTAGTAGTAGTAGTAGTAGTAGTACTATAGCCCGCGTACAGTTGCCGCAGGCCTGCGGCCACTGTACGCAGGCTATATAGTACTACTAGAGCTTCCGATTAACTAGCAGTAGTTGCTTGCTTACCTTGATAAAAAGTTCGATCTCTGGTTTCCGTATTCCCGACATGATTCGAAGATGCGATCTTTTCGGGACAGACGATTACTTTAGTCACGCAATTCCCGACAGATAACACGAAATTCACAACAACTTCTCACACGGACACTGCAAGTACGACCTCGGACATCCACCCACAGCGTGTCGCGCATGCGCACAGGTAATTGACAGGTGTGTCGAGCTGTGCCGCCATCTATTGGCGTGAACAGTTGGTAAAACCATAGACCAAAAGTTTGAAGTTGGATTCCATGAAAATCTCGCATATTTCTAATCATGTAACTTCACAGGAGCCGCATCATATTGATAATAGCCGGTTATTAAGTAGGCATATCACAGTACGAATTAAGGGACGTTGTTGTTTCTGAACTTTATTATACATGCCATGGTCACGCGTGCGCAACATGCCGTGTCCATGGACGCTGCCATCTTGAATCAGCAAATAAATAAATAAAGAACAACTATGAGACCTACGTAAATATGCCTGTGTAAATGGAAGAATAATGTCCGTAAAATAATATGAAATGTGTTAGCTCGTGCGTTTGATTCGCATGTCGCACGGTACAAAAATTTCTGCAGACTATTTCCGAATATTATCGGGTTATTCTCGAATCCACAGCCACTATCAGCCGGAGTTTTTGGCGCCGCAAAATGGAAGGCATTTACGTAAAGTACGTGAATCAAAAAGTGAATAAGATACGATGGCGCCCGTCAGAAAATCCTTCACTGGAACAGTCAAATACGTTTGCCACGGGCAGCTGGGATGACGAGGTTCTTGAGTTTCTAAGATTAGTTATTTGATATCGATATCTGGTTTCACTTGCGTAGCCGTTGACGTAGGGCCACCGGCACCGCCATTCATCGATTCAATTCAAGCTAACCAATTGGCAATTTCAAGATGTAGGGCCTACTTCCGATTTGCATTTACGCGATTAAAAAACATATTGAAATATCATATTCCCCGGTCACAGTCACAAGCAGAGTTGCCGGTCGATTTAAAAATGTTCAAATCTTTGATCTCGCCCAACTACTTGAATTTTGAAAGTTGAAGTGAAGTAGTTGAACTAGAACTAAGAAGTGAAGTTGAACTACCTTAGTACCTAGTAGAAGTGAAGAAACTTATATAATATACGCGTCCGAATTCCTCCCCAAAAGTACGATGAACAAAAGTACCGGTACCCATTAAAAATGACAATGTACGAGCTCGTGAGGGTTACGCGCCGTGACTTTGCGCGTCGTCGTTGACTACTAAGTTTAATACTAACCCACCGTTCGCCGCACTTCCGCAGGAGAACAGGGTTGGCTTGTGGACGCTGTCCCCCAGTCGCCGCGATGACGACGGCACCGACGTCGATCCTTCGCCGCTTGCCGTCCCGGGAGAGATGCGGTCGTTGTGCTCCGTCGCGCACCGCGGCGACGTCACCGATCTACTGGTAGGATTGCTGCCGATATCCGACCTTCCCGTGACCCCCGCGCGTTCGCTGCCGGATGGGAGGAGTAGCTTACACGCCAGGAGTAGCTGACTGTGTGTGTGTGTGTGTAAAGAGTCTGAAAAGACTATACTGTACGACACTTGGGCCATCCTTAAAAAATTATGTTTGCTGTCCTCCGACCGACCCACGAAAATAGCCGCGACCCAAAAGTTTTTTTTGACATTTTGGGTCCATATTTTTTATATTTTTTCATAGTTAAGACTGAAACACAAAGCATGTGTGGCAAACATGAGGACAGACTTAAAATAACTATTATACCTCACACAAAAAAAGACCTACCTACCTGTACCCACTAAAAAAGGAACGTACCCTGGGTACGGTCCGGTATACTGTATACCGGAACATACCCTGGTAACTATCTGATATGGTTAGGGTTAGGGAGTAGGCGTAGGTGACTCCCTAGACTCGTTAGTGGAGTAGGCGAGGTACGGTCCGGCATATTAGATAGTACCAGGGTACGTTCTTGTATACCGGACCGTACATAGGGTACGTTCCGGCAGTACCATGGGGGACATAGACCCTCTCAGCCATAGTGGGAGTAGCTGACTGTGTGTGTGTGAGGTATCTTGCTTCCATGCAGACCCAGCGTAAAACACTTGACCATGTCAACTTCAGATGTAGTTCTAGCGCTCTGTTTTATTTAATGCAGTTTATTTCGACACTCGCAAGATTAGTAGCTATGCCAATGAATGTATGAACGTATCTATATGAGCGTATAATAACGAGAAGTGTGACGAAAAACAAAAGGCGTTTTCGTTAACGACCCCGACGGCATCGTACAGTGCGCAATGTCCGCAACGCACGTTCTTGTGTTTCAGTACTTGAAGAACGACCTCATACTGGCGGCTTCCTCCACCGGCAACGTGACGTTGTACAAGCATCATCAACGTTCCGAGGTATCACTCTATCTGTCTGTATGTCTATAGATCTATATCTACCGCTGGCCTGCCCTAGCTGCTGGGGCCGTGACTACTGTAGGAAACCGCTTCCACTCAGGATGTAACAGTAGGGGCAAGAGTTCGGTTAGGGGTTAGCGTACAGGGGTTACTAAAGTAGACCTGAGTGGGCTTGCTGTAACTGTAACTAATATATTATTTGTGCAAAGCTAATAGTCTGCTGCAGTAGCTATCGACGGTAGAGCGGTGACTTGATGTATAACTCCACAAGGACTGATAGAACTGTGTATTTATACAAAGCACACGCTTACGACACGCATAGACTAATGAGCGATCGCGGAGAAATTACTGATATATATACTAAATATATATACATACATATACACACACACACACATATATATATATATATATATATACACATATACATATACACACATACATATATATATATATATACATATACATCATAATTGTCTGTATTAACTCCTGATATACATATACACATACATATACATATACACATACATATACACATACACACACATACATATATATGAAACATTTACGACGACGTTTCTCTCTTGCTGCAGACACTATCCGTGCAGATATCGTACGAGCGTCTGCACCGTTGCCCGCGGCGACGGTCGCCATGCACGGGTCTCGCGCACCGCGATGGAGAGGTGGTCACCGTGGGAGAGGACGGCAGAATCAACCTGCTGGACATCGGTCAGCAGGCCGTTGTCCGGTGCCTTGGTACGCGTCGACGCTGAGACTATATATATGTATGACTTGTCAGTAGCTACACGTCGTGCCACAGCCACAGCCACAAATGTAGCAGCAGCAGTAGCAGTAGCAGCAGTAGCAGCAGTAGCAGCAGTAGCAGCAGTAGCAGCAGTAGCAG